GGGCCGGATAAATGTCCTCGGGTGGGCTGCATGTGGCCCGCGGGCCATAGTTTGAGGACCCCTGGGCCCTAGAGGCATAAAGGGAGTGGCTCTAGGGGCATTTCTCTGGGCCCACTTTTAAAGTCTGGTCTTTGTGGGTCTCACTGACAAGGCCACAAGATAGGGATAGACTGTCATTCTGAATTTTCAGCCAGGGGGCAGGGGATACTTTCAAACTCGAAAAGGGACTTCAATAATCACCAGATAGCTGGGGCCAGAAGCTGGTGGGGATCTCTGAGCAGGCCTCTTCTAAGCACTGTCTGCTTTTACCCGCACAAGCACCCTGTGACATAGGAACTTCTCCCCCACCCGCCCCCACCCAGGGTTAAGAAAATCATGGCACCTGGACACCAACTATATACATAGAGATAATGCTTACCGTTAGTGAAACTTAAGAAAAATGGTAAACTAATGGCTGTAGCACTTACTTATTCAGAAGATTATGACCTACAAGGGAGCTTCAAAAAGTTGGCAGGAAAATCCCATTATCTTTTCATTCCTTTTATTTTCCTGCAAATGTTCTGAAGCCCCCCATGGAATCCTGTGTTACCATGAAGTCGTTATATGTATGTTGTGGTTGTGTGCCATGGATTCCAACTCGGAGCAATCCTATCGGACAGAGTCGAGCTGCCCCCTTCAAGAGCCAGTTGCCAGCTTTTTCTCCCACGCATGGCTGGTGGGTTTGAACTGCCAACCTTTGGGTTAGCAGTTGAGCACGTAACCATTGTACCACCAGGGCTCCTTGATAGTATTTATAAAGAGCTCTTAGAACCACTTGTCTGTCAGTTTGTCACACTGTGGTGGCTTGCATGTTGTTATGATGCTGGAAGCTATATTGGTGGTATTTCTGGCAGGGTCACCCAGAGTGACCCAGATTGTGACCCAGGGTCACCCAGAGTGAACAAGTTTTAGCGGAGCTTCCAGACTGAAAACAGACTATGAAGGAGGAATCGGCTGCCCACATTAGAGAGAGTTGACACAGAAAACATTATTCATAGAGAACAAGACTTATGTATATGTGGAAAAGGGATTTACTTTTCAATGCATTACGATCTTATGCAGTACATGCAAGTAAACAAATATTTCACAATATCGATAGTAGGCATAGGTGGAAAGACTGTTAGTGATTTTTTTTATATTTGTGAGTTACCTTCTAATAAGGCAAAGAATGAAAACTCTAAACGTTAGGGCTTAGAGATTTGTTAATTACTTGTGTCTGTTGATTAAATGAACATTTTATACCACATACTGACAGGGCGCCAGGTGCTCTGCTTTGCAGATATGAAGACAGTATGAACTCATATCACTGCTGCCATGAACTAATGACCCTGTCCGTCGGGGGCTCTGGGACATAGCGGTTACGTGCTGGGCAGCTGACCACAAGGTCAGCAGTTCCAAACCACTAGCTGCTCTGAGGGACAAAGATGGGGCTTTTTATTCCCGGAAAGAGTTAGCCCCAGGGGCAGTTCTACCCTGTCCTGTAGGGTTACTATGAGTCAGACTCCTCTCGGTGGCAGTTTTCCATACAGAACAAAATTTTGATTACAAGTAACAGAAAACCCAAATGTCATGGTCTACGGGGAAGTCGTGGCTACTCCCGGATTGGATCTGTTCATGGGATCAATGGAGTAAGGGCTTGCCTCTCTGAAGGGAGTGTCACATATTCCGCGTGGTTACACAGCGGTTGCAGAAGCGCCTGGTGTGACATCAGCATTCCACATGAAAAGAGGAGCGTGCTGGCTTTGTCTGCTCCCTTTTATCAGGAAAACCAAAAATTCCCCAGAAACTCCTCCAGCACTGTACTGAGGGGGTTCCCAAGTATTTAGGCATCAAAATTATTTAGACCTGGTGAAAGGGAGATAGCGGTTGGCAAGATATGAAAATAATAATAATTAATAATTTATCAAGGGATTACAAAGGTGGGGGGTGGAGGGAGGGCAAAAAGAGGAGCTGATACCAAGGGTTAAATAGAAAGTAAAAGGCTAGCAAAGAGTGATGGCAGCATATGTACAAATATGCTTGATACAACTGATGTATGGATTGTTATAAGCGTTGTAAGAGCCCCCAATAAGATGATCTCTAATTAAAAATAAATTTTAAGGAAGAAAAGTTAACTCAGGAGAAAAAAACATATGTAGAACAGTGGTTCTACAAGTATTTCACAATGTTGTGGGCAGGGTCTTTAAATTTTGGAAGGATTGGTTTCCATCCTAACAGCTCGTAATTGGGGTGGGAGAGGACAGCTGGTCCTACAAAGCCAGGTAGCCCGCCCACCAGATTGTCCTTGTCCCAAGTGCCTGAAGTGTGACATGAGCCACTTGGGTCTCAGGACATTGCTGCTAGGACCACTGAGATTCTGTTTGCAAGAAAGAGAGGGGCTCTGGGAGTATGGTGGTTACCCTGGGCTGTTCTCTGAAAGGTCGATGGTTCAAAGCCACCATCCCCTCCACGGGAGAAAGATGTGGCAGCCTGCTTCGGTAACAATTTACAGCTGTGGGATCCATACAGGGCAATTTTACTCTGCCCTACTGGGTGACTGTGAGTGGGAATTGACTCGATGTCGAGGAGGATGGGCTGGGAGCCAGCCACAACTGCTGCCCAAACTAGCCCCCACCCAAGACACATGGTGACTCCACGGGTGTCGGAATGGGGCTGTGCTCCCTGGGTGTTCCAGGCCTATGTGGAGCAGATTGGAAGGCCTTTCTTCTGCTGCACTTCCGGGTGGGTCTGAACCTCTTGGCCAGGGGTCCAGCGTGTCGATCTGGGGACGCCCCCTCCAGAGTCACATTGCTTGGAGTTGATCTCTGACCCTCCTTTTGTCCCCTGGAGTCCCAGGTGGCACAACTGTGCTGGTGGAGCTCACCCCCGACATCCACATCTGTGGCATCTGCAAGCAACAATTCAACAACCTGGACGCCTTTGTGGCTCACAAGCAAAGTGGCTGCCAGCTGACCGGCACGCCCGGGGCCGCCCCCAGCACCGTCCAGTTTGTGTCGGAGGAAACCGTGCCGGCCACCCAGACCCAGACCAGCAGCCGAACCATCACCTCGGAAACCCAGACCATCACAGGTACGGGAGGGTGGGGGCACTTAGCACCGCCTTTGCTGTGTCCCAGATGCCTCTGCGGAACTTGTTAAAAATATCGGTTCCCAGCGCTGGCCCCCTGGGCTTCCGGATTCATTATTTTTAACAAGCTCCTCTGGGAAGCCAGCTGCGTGGCCAGGTTTAGGAACTGCTAGGTTAACACATGAAGTGTTCCCTGATGGAAAGTGCCCTCACGTGTGAGAAAAGTCACATCGACAAAACGCAGGTTTCCGAAACAAAAACGGGCACATTAAGAAACACGGTTTTTGTGTAGGTCGTACAGGAAATGCATCATGATTTAAAAGGCGGTTGTTGGGGGTGGTGGGAATACTTGAGTGGTCCCTGAGTGGGCAGTACTTGTGCAAAGAGACTAAAAATGTGTTTGGAAAAAACAAGCCACATAAAACGTATCAACAAGCATTGGCAACGCCCCTGCTGACCAGGAAGGCGGGTAGGCCTGTCCCTACTCTTGGCTGTGCTAGGTGGCTCCCCAAAAATGAATGACAAGTGGACCCCAAACTTAAATGCACAATGAAACCACAAAGGTTAATATTACACACACATACACATGGGCATCCTTGTAAAGCCTATATAATTTGTCTTACATATTCTCCAATAACTTAAAAAATATAAAGTAACCCCATGGCAAGATAGATAGTGCTTAGCCTTACTTACCTAAGGCATTCACATTCAAAATTTTTAAAATATCATGTACAGAATTGTTATGTACCAGTTCTGGTTCCTGGTGTTACCATGTAACAGAGTGGAGCTGCCCATGATGCCCCTAGGTTGTCATCTGCTCTTTTCTCCCCTAGCACACCTGGGAGTCGAACCACCAACCTTGTGTTCAGCTTCAGAATGCAGTACTCCACCAGGGTTCCTTAAATACACACACATGTATATTTATACTGTATTTAGTTTTGTGTGTGTGTGTGTGTGTCTGTCTGTCTGTCCCAGGATGGTGCCATTAAGTGCTCAGCTACTAACTGAAAGGTTGTAGGTTCAAGTCCATACAGAGGCAACTCAGAGAAAAGACTGTTAATTTACTTCTAAAAAACCATCCATTAAAAACTCTGTGGAGCCCAATTCTACACTCACATGTGAGTCAAAATCAGCTTGATGTCAACCAGTGTGTTTTTAAAGTCTATGAGGAGGTACCCCCCAAAACAGAATTGTGCTGGGCAGAGTGGAGCTTTTGTAATACGGATTTTTCCTGCTAGGTGAGCATTGAGCAACTTGATCTGACTTAGTGCACCCAGTGGTGTCCCCTGGGAAGGTTCTCTCCGGTCACAGTGAATATTTTTGTAAAAGCAGTTTCAGTCGTACCTCGCTTTTTTGTGATGGCCGATTTAAGAGAACAGTGTGCAACTATGAAAGTTTGTTTCCTGCTCAGGAAAAGTGCCGCAGAAACTGTTGTGATATTGAACACAGCTCACAAGGACAGCGCTATGGGAAAAACTCAAATGTACTAGTGGTCTTCTCATTTCGAAAAAGGTGAAATGTCAATTGATGACAAACCTCTTTCTGGATGTCTATCAGCTTCCCCAATGGACAAAAATGTGCATTTGGAGTTTGTTCCACTGGCTGAGACTGTGCATCAAACTTCCTATTTAGAGGTCCTGAAAAGATTGTGTAACAGTGTGTGACAACAAAAAAGGCCTGACTAGTGGCAAATGGGGGACTGGTTTTGCCACCACAACAATGCACCTGCTCACACAGCCATCTCAGTGCGCCAGTTTTTCCGCCCAAAAAACCAGCATGCCTATCTTGCTCCACACACCTGACTCACCTGACCTCACTCCATGTGACTTCTTTTTGTTTCCACAAATGAAGCAAGACATGAAGGGCAGCGATTTGACAAAGTAGCAGAGGTGGAGGAAAAACGAGGGAGGTGCTGTCAGTCACCAAAACAGATGAGTTTGAAAAAGTTTTCCAAGAATGGAATCACAGATTTGACAAATGGATTAAGTGTAATAAAAAATTCTAAATACATAGCTTTGAAAAAAATACTATATGCCACATATTATATATACTATAGACGTAGACACACACACACATATAGTAGTATGTATTAGGGATCCCTGGTGGCATTGGGCTGCTAACTGCAAGGTCAGCAGTTTGAACTACTAGCCATTCCTCAGGAGAAAGAGGCATCTTTCTATACAGTCTCGGAAACCCATCCTCAAGGCAGCTCTACCCTGTTCTATAGGGTTGTTATGAACTAGCATCGACTCAATGCTAGTGAGTTTATTATATATACTACATTAAAAACAAAACGAAACAACAACAACTCAGAGTGGCTGGTGGTTTTGAACTGCTGACCTTGTGGTTAGCAACTCAAAGCATAAGCACTACACCACCAGGTATATGATTACTGTGCCTGACAAAGAAGACAGGTTGGTGGAGCACCCCTTCCCCCACCAAGAAAAAGAATCACAAATATGAGTAAAGCTACAAAGTTTGCAGCAAATAATGTTTGTAAGCAGATGTGTAAATGAACGCAAAGAACAAGTCAGCAATTTGGGGAAGAATTTTGTGGCCTACAGGACTAAGGCCTAATGTCCCTCATATAGAAAGAACACACACACACACACA